TTTTTTTTTTTTTTTTTTTTTTTCTTGTCATGAGTGGAAATTTTGAGCAGTTGTTTTTCCTTCCTGCCTTTCCTTTCCTCCCAGGAAACAGCCAGCAGCGAGTTATTGCTCAGGGTGATGATGTGACCCCAGCTCCAGGCCTTGGAGACACGCTCCGGGCCAATAAGGGTGGCTGGGACACTGAAGTGTGTGGGGGAAGGGGAGGGCACATTCCCACATGGATTCAGGGACTCAGCAGCCTGGAGCTGCTGCCTTCATTCCTTCAGGAAACAGCAGCAGTGGTGGGCAGGGATCCATTGTGACCAAAAGCTCTGGGCTCTGCTGCTCCATCCTGCCTGCTTCCATCACCAGCTGGGCACAGCGAGGTGTTCTCCTGAAGATCTGGTGCTTTTGGAGAAGAGGATGGCAGGAACTGTGGGGCAGAGCAGGACAGGTGATTAGAGAGAGCAGCACTGACAGGACAAGGGACAGTGGCTTTAAAGTGCCAGAGTGTAGGGTTAGATGGGATTTGGGAAGGAATTCTTCCCTGTGATGGTGGCAAGCCCCTGGCACAGGGTGCCCAGAGCAGCTGTGGTGCCCCTGGTTCCCTGGAAGTGTGCAAAGCCAGGCTGGACAGGGCTTGGAGCAGCCTGGGACAGTGAAGGTGTCCCTGCCATGGCAGGGGGAGAACAGACGAGTGTAAAGTCCCTTCCAGCCCAAACCATCCAGGGATTCTGGGATTTCAAGGGATGAGAAGCCTTTGGAGTCATTTCACTCATTCCCAGGACCTCCATCAGCAAAGAAACCTCACGGAAAACTTGAGACATCCAGAGACTCAACTCCAGCCACAGCCAACTTCCATGCTCCAGCTGGCACTGGAGCTCCAAACCCTGCCTCCAGCCCAGCCTCCATCCTCCTTTGTCCAAACAAACCTGGCTGCAAGGCTCTGCTTTCACCTTCATCTTTCCTTCCTGACTGGGAAAATCCATCCCTTCCCCAGGATGGAGCCTCCATTCTTCCCTCACCTCCCCAAAAACCCAAAGGTGACCTCACTGCTCCCCAGCTGCAGGCTCAGGAAGTGGAAGTGTGGGGACAAAAGCTGCCTGAGACAAGAAAACAGAAATAGATAAAACCCCCACCAGCAAGGCTGAGATCAAAAAAGCAGAGGATGAAAGGGCAGGAAATTGGGTTTCCAATTGCAGGGAGCAGGTAGCAAAGGCAACAAAAACGTTTGGAAAGGAAGGAGCTGAGCACTGAGCTGTGCTGGATGGTGGAATGTCTGGTGGAATGTGGTGCCCGTGTGTTTTACAGCGGCCACGTGATTCTGGCACTGCTGAACTGCCCAGCTCTGGGCCAGCACTCAGGAATGGCCTCAGGGATTCACAGGAGAATCCAGCAGGATAAAAGGGTTTGGCCAAAGTCACTCCAAAAATCCTGATACAGGAGTGTCAGTGCCCTGAGAGGTGCCTTTGCTCCCTGTCCTGGCTCCACCACTGCCCCTCACAGCCTAAACAGAGCTCCTGCTGCTCCTCAGCAAGGATCCTGAGGGAACTGGGTTCTGAATTCCTTGCAAGCAGGAATGTCAGCAGGAAAACAAACCCGAGCAGGTTATGCAGCAGGACTTGTCCCCTCAGATGTCACTGCAGGGCACAAGCAGCTCACGAGGCCAGGACACATCAGAGGCTGGCCCTGAGCTGGGGCAGAAATGCAGCTCCAGGAAGTCCTGTTTTGCCAGCCTGGAAGCAAACAAACTCATCTCCATCCTTTTTTCCAAGGTCCCAGCTGTGTTCCTGTGTCCCCCACGTGCTGGGCCTGTGTGACAAACACAGGGCAGCCCCTGCAGGTCCCTCCCTGGGGCTGGGGCCACGTGAGAGCACCTGGGCCTGGCTTTCCTGTGTCCTACAAGGTCAGTGGATCCGGTGGGCAGCAGGGACAGGGACACCTGCCATGGAGCCACTGGGGATGTGCCTCACATGGCAGCTTTGTTCCAGTTATGGGCTGGGAGGGAATTCATTTATAGTCAGAATTAGGCTGAAGAAAACACTGATACCACAAGGCTGACCAGACCAGAGACTGATGATAAAAAAAAATACACAATAATCTCTTAATTCCCCCCTATTTCCTGCTCCATGAAGACCCCCTCTCTTCCCAAAATCCCAGAGAAGACTTTGGATTAACGTGTTTACATACAACAAGGCAGTCCTGCGGTACCAACATTTAAAAATCCAAGTGGAAGGATATCAGATCCAGAATATCTGAGGCCCCTCCATGGGATCATCTCTGTAGTGTAAGGCACAATGTTCAAGTGATCTGAGCATTTACAGGGCTGCAATAAACCACACCATTGTGCTGGGTTAAAAACATAAATTAAAAGAGGCATGAAAAGCACCCTGGGAAAAGCTGCATGATTTGAATGTCACTTGTTAAGACCCCCTGCCCTGTGAGCAACCCCATGGCAAATCCCTGAGTGCCAAAGAGCATTTTCCCTTTGTCCCCTGCCCCCTGCTCTAACCACCCTTCCATGTGGTCATTTTCCTTCCTGCTGAGAAGTGACTGCAGCTTCCTCTGGGCCCCCCACCACAGCTCTGAGCTCAGCTCTGCAATCAGCAGAGGGATCTGCAGGGAGCAGGGCCCTCCCTTCCCCAGCACGCCGAGCCCTTTATCTCTGCCTGCCGCTGCCCCGGGAAGCTGTGGGAGCGGAAAGCCGAGCCAAGCCCCTGCTCCAGTGTCACACAGCCCTCCCCGAGCTGCCCAGCCAGGAAAATCACCCCCTGGGCAGCACTTCTGCACCACTGCGGGACCCGAGGTGGTGGCACAGAGCTGCCAACGCTGCAGAGAACTCACAGCAGCACAGCTCCAAAGGGTTGAGTCAAGAGCCTGGATTCGGGGCTGAGGGGACAAAAATCCTGTAAAAGTTGCAGAGCACCAGCAAGGAGTGAAGAGATTGGCAAGAATTTGTGCAGGGTTCAAGCAGCACTGAAAAGCAGAGAATTCAGGGCCACAGGCTGAGCTGCAGGTGAGGAATGCTCCTCCCTAACAGGCTGTGGCTGAGCAGGCTCCAGGCTCTCAGTGGATGTCTCACTCCACAGCACTGAGACAGGGAAATTTTCTCAGCACCTGCTGGAGAAAATGGATTTCAGCAGCTCCATGGAATATCAAATGAAACTGCAAAAGAGGAGCCAAGAATCCAAGTGTCAAATGCAAAGCTGGAGGAAACAACTCTGTAAACACCTTGTTCCTCCAGCTCTGAGCCTGAACTCCCCACGGCCACTTGGGGCTGAAAATAAACCAAGTTCTGTTAAAGAGAGCCCAGCAACAGAGCTTTCTTTAGAAAATGCAGGTGTGGGATGTGACCTTTTCCCCAGGGTGCAGCAGGCCCAGCTCAGCTGGCCCACAGCAGCCTGACAACTGCACACAGCTCACTTGGAGTCAGTGCTGCCACAAGAACATCAGCTTGGGGAAAAACAGGGCAAAAATGGATGTACCACACGCTGGAACTGGGCTAACACAGTGCTCCAATCACATCTGTCAGTATGACTGAGTTACCTGAATTCAGAGCAGAAAATCAGGCTCTTCCTTCCTTCTGTGAGTCAGAGGTAATTGCTCTCCCTGCTCCAGGCACAGTGACTCACTGCAACACAAAAAGAATAGCTCCTGGAGTCATTAATCTGTGTTTTCATCATGTGCTTGGCACTCTCCAGTAACTGCTCACACCGTGCAAGCTTGGAGGTGATCTTAACAGAAAAGGCATCATTCATATTATTGTTGTTGTTGATGTGAATTTCACACTCCACTTAGGAAAAGATGTTTTCAGAAACATCCCCTGGACAGTGAAATGGGGTGGGAAGGGATCTGCTCTGTCAGGAGCTGTGTGCAGACACCAAACACTGACTCCCTGGAACTGTGTCACACAGCCACGACCTGGCAGCAAACGTGATAAAATAAAGAGGCTTAAGAGCACAAAGGCAAAGCTGCCCCATGGAAAAAGCAGGGATAATCATCAGGAGGGACTGGGAAAATGGGTAAAGATGGGAATGTGCTGTTTCCCCAGTGGATCCTGCAGGACAGGCTCTGTTTAAAGCACTTTAGTGGCCCCTGAGGTTGCAGCAAAGCTCTGCTGAGCACGGCCCCAGTGCAGAGGCACTGCAAGATCCCAGGCCTGGCTGATGAGCTGCACTTGATGAGCTCTGCAAGGAGCTGCCCCAGCCAAATCTCATGGCACAGGTTCACACGGGAGCTGCCAAACCCAGCCCTGCCTTCCCAGCACCCTCTGCCCTTCGCTGCTCCTTCAGCAGCAAAATGAATCTTCTTCCTTTAAAGAAACAATCCCCACCAGAACAGAGGTGAGGGGGTTTTGGCTGGGGGAAAATTACAGAATATAAAGGATGCTTTATGTCTTTAGGACATATTTGCTGGTACAACAGGCAAGAAATCCCTCCTTCCCCACCACAACAGCGTGACCCAGGTCAGGATTTCACAACTTGTGCTCTCTCATGAGATTTTTTCCCTCATTTTCTCCCTGTTTTCCCATTTTTCCAGTCTGACTGGCAGCACAACCATCAGCTGTTAAACAAAATTGCCCCCCTACAGCCACAGGCAAAGCAAAGGCTTTAAACTCAGTTTTACAGAGATTTGCCAGAGAAAAAAACAACAACAAATCCTTCTGTGCACCTCCCACTGCCAGGCTGTGTTCCATTCAGTGCTGTGCCCTGACACATCACTTTTGCTGTGCCTGCACACAGCAGCTCACAGGAGCAGTGACACCTCCACAAAAGAGCCACAGACACGTGCCTGAACAAATCACAAAGTGCAGCAAACCAGAAAAGATGCAAACTATTTACTGCCCAACAATGCCTGGCCAGGGTGAGCTGATTTTGTGCAGAAAAGGCAGCAAAGATTAAAGCTGGCTGGAAAATAGGTGGGTTTGTTTTGATGGAAACTTTATGGATTGCTCAGGTGTGGAAATTACTTCAATTACACAGCTACATAAAAAGACTAAATAATCATCAGAAAAGAATTCACATTCCTTGTTTTATTAGATGAAACTGTCAGTTTTGTTTCAATTATTCAGTGATACAGTTGGAGCCCTCTGGCCACAGTGATAAGATCAGACTACAAATAAATAATGAATGGAAAGTATTGGAATCACAGTTCCATCAGTGTTTTTCAGGATACATTTCAGAGTATTTCCTGTACATTCCAGCACATTTCACAGTATGAATTTAGAGCAGAACATCCACCCATTCCAGTGCATAATTTAAGCTCTGAAAAACAGACACATGTGTGCAGCAGGAGGAGCTGCACTGGTCCCTGCAGCACAGGCACTGTCACTGCCACACAGCAGCTTTCAGGCTCTTCTTTGGCTAACATCACTTTGTTAAATATTGATAGAATTAATTTAATTAACTGATTAAATAAATTATTTGTCTAATTAATACTTGTAACCCCAACTGCCAAGGGGTTGAAAGAATACTGAAGCCTTTAGTGCTGTCATAGGTAGGCAAGAAGTGCAAGATGAAGCAGAATCAACATCCATGGCCTGCCTTCCCCAGGATTCCCAAAAAACTGAGCAGGAAAGTGGAAATTGCTCGCACTGGCAGTGAAGGAACAAACCTCTGAGCCCTCTGAACTGGGAGAAACTGAAAGGCTTCACATCTTTCACAAGTAAGTTCTCAGAAGAGCAAAGGGGAAGCATAAAGTGATTCAGTGAGAAAAGAGACGAGCAGACAACAAGGATTTAATTCCTTATTTAAAGCTGCAATCCCTTATTCTGACACCCAGTTGCACAACACACCCTGAGCCACACCATGAGTCAGGGAGGGAAAAAAATCATCACCAAAACGATGGGAAGGAAAGTTTTCAGCACCTCCTCAGTTACAACAACATGGAAGTCCTGGAGTACCTGAAAATAGAGTGAGAAATCAGTGCAGCCATGGAGTGAACACTGACCCTGGCTCAGAGTACCATGGATCATCCCCTGGGAAGCAGCTTGGGAGAATCCCCTGGGAAAATCCCCTGGGAAGCAGCAGTGCCCAGCAGCAGGGCAAGAACCTCTCAGTGTGGCTGTACCAGTGACAGGAAGCCTTTCACCACACCACAAACCCTCCCCAGGAGCTTCTGGCAGAGTCCTCACCTGAGAAAGGTCCATTCACCATAAAAAAGGAGTTTGTCAGAAGCACACAGGATGAGTCACCTTCTAGTGGTGAGTGACTGCTGATTACAGCTTAGATTTTTAGTGATTACCAATTTCAGACGTTTCAAGTGCAGAAAAAAATTAGTGTCAGATTAATGGCTGCACATCAGAGCACGGAGAGCAGATCTCAGGGTTATTTGTTGGGCTTGGCCAGGTTCCTATCACACAACCAGCACTTTTCCCATCTGTATGTAAACCACAATATAAAAAACCCCAAATTCCAGCTATAGCTCAATACACAAGACAAAACTGCATCTTCAGCCCTCTGTCCCAGAGTCCACCTGCAGCTGCTCTTCCCAGAAGTCTCTCAGAGCTCGTGGGAGTTGGCGTGGGGCTCTGGAAGTGTCTCAATGTCACAGTTCTTGATCAGCTGAAAGAGGAACTCCACCTGTTTCTCATAATTCTCAAGGGAGATTCTCTCATTCAACCCATGGATCCTGGAAGAAAAAGGACATTTTTCAGGCCAGGGGGAATTTCTGACCCAAGTGCAAACCCAGCACCCTGCTTGGCTGGGTTGACTTCATAAAGCTGTGCACAGCAGAAAAACACAGCAACATAGACCAAAAACTGCACTGCAACCAACCCTAATGTACTGATTCAAAGGCTCAGAGCCCAACAGCTATGTCTGGAAAAAACCTAAAAATCTAATCTTGAAAAAATCCTAATGGCCCATTTCTTGGCCACTCCTGTACAGCCAAAACACTCCACTCCTGCATCATCTGCACCTCAATAAAATGAGAAATCTAAATAAGCAAACAATCCCTTGCATGATGATGTTGTTATCACATAACTTCAGGAAATTTCAAATCAATTCAGAATGGCAAGTGTCCAAATCTGTGGATAAATCTGCAGGACAAGGCCAGCTACCAGAACAACACTTCTCACACTGCTGCAGCACACAAAGGATCCACTCAGCACCACAGAATCAAACACCTAAACGGGTCCTGCCTGCATTTGAAGGAACAAAGAGCCAGGGCTGACACTGTCTCAGGGCAATTTCCATCCCCAGCACCCAGATCTGCAGGAAATGGGTGGCCTGACAGCGTGGGAGGCCAAGGTACACAAGGGTGGGTTTCCTCCTCTCATGGATCTCCTCTTTCCCCGTGCCCACGTGCAGAGCTCAGTACCTGGGGAGATCATCCTGTTTCAGGAGCAGAGGGTTGAACCTGTAAATGGCCTTGGTGACGTTGGTGAAGTGCCTGCTGTCCGTGTTTCCAATGCACGTGCCTGGAAAACAAACCTCAGGTTTGTTCTGCAGGAGAGGAACAACTGAACTTCAAAAAGTGCCCCACCTTTCCCCAGGGGAGAGGAAAAGCAAATGATAACAGTCCTGCACCAAGAGCAGCACTGGAAACATTGACTGGTACATGCTGGAGAACATTCTCTCCTTCAGGAGCAGGAGCTGAACACACAACTCAACCCAAGAACAGCTTTGACAATCAGCCTCCCCAAAAATATAAGCTTCAAACTTCTATTAACAACTGCACAGCTAGGATAGAGCTGCAAGAGAGGGAAGGAGCTGGGATCATAAGGAACAATACAGAAAAGCAGGAATGGCTTTGCCAGCTATGAAAACAATAAAAGAAGAACTAAAGCAAGAAGACCTCCTCCTCTCCCTCACAATTCCTTTCTTCCCTGAAGAGATTCCTTTGTATGTGCAGAGAGCCCAATTCAAGGCTCATTGTTTCTGTCAGCTTCCTGTTTGCTTTTTTACTTCCACTACTAAAAAACAACATTAAAACTTTGAAAGCATAAAGAGGGAATGGAATAAAAAGAGGAAAAAACAGCTGTTTCCAGCAGTTAACAGCTGGGGTGGAAGAGTACACAGCAAATGGAAACAAGGCAGTGCTGGGGGAGGGAAAAGCAGAAGAGGAAACAATCATCATCATCATGTGCCTGCTGTCACCTGGGACTACACTGTCAACATCTGGGAAAGTGTCCAGGATGGTTCTTTGAAAAATATGGACTGCAAATGTCTGCTCATCCCAAGGACTGATGGGCAGGGGGTCAAAGGCCTCCACCACATCAATCTTCACTCTGTCATCAGCAATGGTGTTCCTGACTGTCTCCAGCACCTGTGGGTGGAACACAGACACAAGAGGAGAACAAGAAATGAGAAAGCAGCCCTTAGAGACATCAGCAGATGTTCAGCTTTCCAGAAAACATCTGTCTGTGAACTGTCAGTTGTGGCTGCAAACACAGGCTGCAAGTGTGTGTCAGTCCCTCTTCTGAGTGCATGGCTGATACTTTAGCTGAATTTTTTAATCAGATGCACATCTCTGTCTCAAGGTACTCCTGAACTGCTTCAGCCCTGGAAGGCAGGAGCTCAGCCTGCTGCTCTTGGAAACTATGGCATCCAAATAATCCAGAAAAAGCTTCCAGAGAGAGAAACTTCCAGCAAAGCTTGGGGAGGGAAGGTTTTGTACTGACAACATTTCACAGCTGCCCTGGGCAGGACAGGCCTGTCAGACCTCCTGAGGTGTGAAAGGTTCCCAAACTCTCCCAGGTCACAAAGCCATTCCAATCCCAGATGATCCACGTGCTCTGTGGCACAAAAGCTGAGGAGATCTGACCAGGGCTACCTCAGCAGCTGTCTCAGCTGAGTGGATCCTGAAGTTCACCGTGGCTCTCGCAGAGGAAGGGATGACATTCACCTGGAAAAAAGAGTCAGTTAAAGTATAAAAGGAAGTGAAAACCAAAATAAAATGCCAGCTGAAAACTCAGAACTGCTCAAACAACTGCAGGCCTCGGGTGCTCCACTGTTTCCACCAAGTGTGATGTCTCTTACACTGTAAATCCTATCTAAAATGCAGATAAATACACAAAGAAATATTCATGAAATCAAGAGAAATTAAGTTAGCTGTTACTTCTATAGAAGTTTTTATTTTGAGCTAAGCTTTCTCCCTTCAGGAAATTTATACTGACAAATTCTGAAACTCTGCAATTTTTTTAAAGTGATATTTTTACCTCATTGTCACATTACATGCTTCATATTTAGGTAAATGTAGTTGCTTAACAACTGATTTTTACTGAACACATAACTCTTCTTATCTACAGACTGAATATTTACAACTTTGTTAAACAAAAACATGTGTAATCTTTAGAAAAAACCCCAAGGAACCAGGGTGTCACTTCCCTCCTGGCCACTCCGTGTCACTGTTCAGCCACTGCATCTTTTCCTGTCCAGGGATGCTTTTCAGTCACAGATTTTTTTCAGACACACCAAACACAGCCTGTTTGTCTTCCAGGGCTCCAGAATTTTTGGACAGTTCCACCTCCTTATCAGGGCAGGATCTGGCTGTTATCTCTCAGTCCAAGGTGCACATTTAACACAGTTCAGGCAACCCCAGACCTGTGCTGCAGATGTCTGGGTCAGGGAAGTGTTTGTGACTGTGACAGTTTCAAATATTGCCTGTGACACTTCGTAGGATTATGCAGAAACCACATTTTCTTGTCTGTGCTGAAATATTAACAATTTAACAGTAGTAAACAGAGATCAGATACTTCTTAAAGGAAGTGATTTTCAAATCCAGGCCATATCTGAGGCAAGAATGAGACTGTGGCACCACACAGGGCCCACACTGATCTTAGAACTGGATATAAATAGGTGGAAATTAAATGTCCTAATTGTTCCATCATAATTACACAGAGAAAAACCCAAATGAAAGTACCTTGATTCCTGCATTAAACAGGGTGACTGCAGTGGTCGTTCGGATCAAGGCGTTGGTGGAAGGTTTCCAGGCAAGGACTCTACAAAAATAGAAACAAACAAAATTTTTCAGATAAATTGAATATTGCTAAAAAATAAGGACCATAATTCCACAGTGAATAAGCTGAATGATGGCTTATTCAATTAACAGAGTGGTTATTAACAGGAAACCACTGAATTATCTAAACTATAAAATAACTGATTTCCTGGGAAGATTAGAAATGGCTTCATCTTTTAAGGGTGAGAGGCTGGGGGTGTTTATCAAGGATCTATTTTCTTACCTGCTGACAATAGGTGAGAACAGCCACAAATTGCTCATGATGATGTTGAGAGGAAACTTGAACTAAGGGGAAGAAACAAAACCACGAATCAGAAAGTTTTCATTCGTCAAGAGCACAGTCGAGTCACTTGAATATGGACAAAACAATTCCAGCAGCAACAATAATCTGGGAGAAAAAACAGCTTTTTTTATCCTTTCTACACAACTAAATTCTTCACTGGGTTACTCTAATGGAAATTTGGGAGTGAAATCCTGCCTGTCTCCTCACCTCTGCTGCGAGGTGCTCCATAGTCATGAGCTCTGGGCCGTAGCCAAACAGGTTGCGCAAGGGATTCTGCTCCAGCCTACAAAACAAATTGTTAATGTTTTCAACACTGAAAAGGTTAAAAAACAACTCTCTGGCTGTTATTGCTCCAGAAGGATGTCAGGAATTTGATTTGTGAAATGTATCTCTGTTATTGGAGATGCAATCACACTCTGCTCTCCTGGTAAGTAAATGTGCAAGCACAGCTCCACAGATTCTGGGCATTCCAGTCACGTGCAGAGATTTCCTCTGAGACACAGCAGAAAAAATCCCAAAGCCTGGCTCTTATAAATACATGAAAATCCATAAAAAATAGCACACAAATCCCACTATGTCTGAGCATACTAAGTTTTTCTAAAATATGTATTTCTTAGCCAATTTGGTATCTACACCGAGGTGCAGAGACACAATTTCTGCAGTCACATTATGTTCACTAGCTTGGAGAATTCCCAGCTGAGGTAGCAGGGATGAGCAGGAACAAATTCCAGAGAATTCCTGCCACCCAAACAAAGGAACCTCTGTTGGTACAGAGGAAATTAGGGCAGACAGCACTTGTCTTGCTTTTAAAGAATTGGCTGACACTGGGAGCAGCTGAAGTGCAAAGACTCTGCAGACACCTGGCAATTGTTCCTTGGCTGGGAGTTTCATTTCTGCCCTTCAAAGTGAGCTACAAACTGCAATTTCAAACACAGAACAGCAGTTTGAAAAAGACTCTAAACACAAATATTTAAAAAGTCACATATCAGTGATTCAGGAGGTTTTCTGACTGTTTTTTACATCAGGTGACAGGGAAGTTCTCACCTGGCCATGGCTGCTGCCAGAATGCCAATACTTGTCTCCTTAGGAGGAAAGGATGAATGCCCTGGCTCTTTTTCCACAGTGAAGTTCAGTGTCATTGAACCTTTTTCTGTGACAGCAATCCTGGACAATGATAAATTAATCAATTAATTAACAAATAAATGACTAATGTAATTCCAAACACAAATGCACAGACGAAATAACCACTAGATAAAAATAACCACTCTGCATAGTTTTAAAATGATAAAAACCACTCAAGCAGCAACAACAAATCATTAACACAGTGTTTAGATCTCTGCAGGACTGATGTCTGGGCTGCTTCTGCAGTGAGCAGAGCTGTACAGCACAGAGTTAAAATGCTCAGTGGAACATTGTGCCTCTGTCAGCACGACTGTGATGGACATCAGGCAGAGGCTGAAGGTCCCTGCCTTGCACTTTGTACCACTGCTCCAGCAGCACCAGCGCTGCCACACGTCCTGAAAACATTCTGTGAGTGACATCAACAATGTCATTTATCACTAATTAATGACTGAAAATGAATCACATTCTGGTGGTCACTCTTACACGGCCACTGGCTTCTTCACCCCTGCAATGATGCCATCCAGCACCGCGCTCCCCTCATCCAGCAGGAAGGAGAGTTTCACTCCTCTGGCTTCCAGCAGAGCTGCAATTTTCTTTGCTCCCTTCAGCCCAGACACCTGTGCAATCCAGGCAGAGGAACTGATCAGATCCAGCCAAAACATCGGGAGGAAAACTGGAAAGCACCTTGCTGTTGGCTACAGCACAAAGAATGCATGAAATCCCCTGGGGAACAGCTCCAGAGCAACCATAAAAGATTCTTCCAGCAAAATTAATTGGAGATCGTTAATGGCCTGGTAGCAGATGAATTTATAGCCATGCTGAGGAGTGCTCTCATTGATGAGTCACTGACTGCTGCTTTCATTTGGGTATCTCAGAGCTGCAAACTCCACAGATTAGCAACTGCAGACCTGTTTATTTCAACTATTAATAATTCTTTGTCTTTATATTTTGACAGTGCCTAACCAAACCCACCTCCCCTGCCTCCCTGTACCACTGGAACATATTTGCCAGTTCTTCCTGAACATTTGGCACAACCACGTGAATCTCAACCCAGCTTCTCCTGTCTCCAAAATGGGATTGTTGCTGCACCTTCCTTGCAGAAAAGAATTTGAATTGACACCCTCCAATGTTCTTTTCCCTTTGCTCATCACACCAAACCCTTTGTGAATGTCACTCCAAGCCAAACAATCAATCCATAACCATGACCTGGGGCCTGACACAGTACCTCCCCACAGAACCAAGAAAAACAGGAAAGACCTTCCAGCTAAACAATGTTTCAAAATTAAGTCCTGTTACCTAGAGGAACAATGCAAACAGGTTGTTGTTGCAAGGAAAGGAAAGAAAATACCTCCTCATCGTGGCCAATGCCAACATAGAAGGAGCGGCGGGGTCTGTAATTCCTCCTCAGCAGGAATTCCAGAGCTTGCAGAATGCCCTGCAGGAAAAGCAGAACGTGCTGGACCATCCCTGGGTGGTAACCAGGAGAATAAATGCAACAGAATGCAGTGTGATGGAAGAGAACTGGGATGCTTTCACAGCCCTTGTGCTGTTCAGAGCTAAGCTTTGATTCCTACAGCTCCCACTGAGGATATTCCCATTCCCTGGAAAAGACACTGCAGTGGTTTTGATCAATAATGCTCTGACAGGTGTCAGGGCAGGGACATGAAACACAGAGCAGCTGGTTCAGGGACAAACTGTACAGGGAGCCCCCAGAGCCAGAATTATCCAAGAATTCACTGTTCCCTTACAGTGCCTGCCACACACCCAGACTGGCTTTCTGCAGCTACCAAATCCAGGCAGTTCAAGGAGCTGCATGTTTTGTACAAGAAGTGCCAAGATGACAGAAACAGAACAAGAAAATTAATCTGAAAAATGAGAAATCAAAAAATCAGATCTACCATTTGCTGTGGCTATATATGTAAAGCAATACATTTGCTTTATTATTCCATCTCTCTTTTTCAATGGAAATGACTTAATTTTTCACATATCACCTCAATATTGTCAGCACCCATTTTTTTGCCACGTTCACTGAAATTGCTGATTAGATTTTTTTTTTGGCCATTTGTGGAATTACTTGTGCAGTTCACAGCAGAATGAAGCACCAACCTCAACTTTTAAGTTTCAAGGCTTTGAAATTGATGATTAAACATCCTGAAACTTTCTAGGAGTGTGTCCTGTGTGACACGAAACATCTGTTCAAATTTAAATACAGGGCTGCCATGGAAGTCATCAAAGTCACAAAGGAACATTTCCCATATTAATTTTTCCATCAACCTTTTCCCCATGAGAAATCTTTCCCAGATCCATCTTTTCTGAATCCATTCCTCCCAAATGTGTTCAGTATAACAGCTCTTTGTTCTGCCACAGGCTGCAAAAAGATGCAGGGTTGTATGTCTATCTTATTAAACAAACACATTTAATTTGAAATTCAAGCCTTTTCCAAGGGCCAGTTTTGGCTTGGAGAACCTTTGTGACACCTGGGGAAAAGGACAAGGTCTATCCCTGGTTTCAAATACAACATTTGACAGAGAATTATGGAATGGTTTGGGTTGGAAGGGACTTTATAGCTCATCCAATGCCACAGGCAGGGATTTGTGACACCTGGGGAAAAGGACAAGGTCTATCCCTGGTTTCAAATACAACATTTGACAGAGAATTATGGAATGGTTTGGGTTGGAAGGGACCTTATAGCTCATCCAGTGCCACAGGCAGGGAAACTTTCACTATCCCAGGCTGCTCCAACCTGGCCTTGGCCACTCCCAGGGATGGGGCAGCCACGGATTCTCTGGCCACCTGTGCCATAAAACTTTAAATTGAACCAAATACATCTGCATCTGTGAATATGATTCTCCTGATTCTTCATGAGTTTTAACCCTCTTTTCTCCAGTAACAGTGAAGAATGAGTGAAAACACTCCATCTTGAGGAAAAGTCGGGAGAAAACTGCAGGACTTGGAATTTATCCAAAGTAGGAATTGATCCCTAGCAGAAAGAGGGGCGAGAGAGAGCCAGCACAGTGAATTCCAAGAGGATGGGCTGCTCCCCTCTGCCTTTCCCAGGCTGTATCAGTGTGGAAGGACGTTACCAAGCACACGTACAATGGCAGAGTTTTTGTTATCCAGCGTTCCTCGTCCGTAGATGAAACCTTCGTGCTCTGCAGCTGAGAAAGGAGGGAAATCCCAGCCCTCGGGGGGAGCAGGCACCACATCCATGTGTGCCAGCAGCATATAGGGCAGCAGGCCAGGGGCAGAGCCCTGAACTGTAAACAGGTGGCTGTATTTCCCAACAATTTCATGTTGGATGAACTTTGAAGAAAATACAGCCGGGAAGACTGTTAGGAAAAAAAAATTAAAGACACATGTAAAAAAAATTAACAGTAATGGCCAATTTTAGCATTATTCCATAGAGGTGTCAGCTAGATAGCATCAGGGGGGAACTGTAAATAAGGCTGGCCAGAAACAGAAGTTCTCACACGTCTACCAATCCATCTCACTTGGGATTTGAAACTCTCCTAAACAAAAGCAGAATTCTTGTTCAGCAGTGCTGCAGCTCTTTTGCAGAGAGCAATGATGGAACTGCCAAAAAATTAGCATTATTCCACAGAGCATTATTCCATAGAGGTGTCAGTTAGGTAGCATCAGGGGGGAACTGTAAATAAGACTGGCCACAGCAGAGAACAGAAGTTCTCACACTTTTACCAATCCATCTCACTTGGGATTTGAAACTCTCCTAAACAAAAGCAGAATTCTTGTTCAGCAGTGCTGCAGCTCTTTTGCAGGGAGCAGTGATGGAACTGCCCAGAAACTAGGTTGATACAGCAGCAGCCATCCTCTTTCACTTTCTTTATGGCATTTGACCATCTCAAGGACCAAAAACCACCATTACAAAAAGTCTTTTGAACCTTTTGGGGCCATTGATACCACTGCTACAGAGGGGACACACATGTGACATTTGTAACAGGTCTTTCTTCAGGAAAAATATAAAAATCTCTTATATTCAGGAATGATACATGCTGTCTTCAATTTGTTTATGAAAATAGAGCAGCAGAGACTGCCAAGACTGAAAGTCCAGTACCTTTCTGAATGTAACTCCCAAATTCTTCCATGGCAGTTGTATTCAAATCCTCTGGAGACCTGGACACAGTTGGGATTTTAATGGCCCCTTCAAAGAAACACAGAACAGAAATCACTCAGCACCAAAACCAAACAAAGCTCGAATTGCACTTCAAAAGTGGAAGTACATTTGTGTTCCTGAGTGTTTTTCCAGGCTTTAAACATTATTTCACAGCACAGCACGAGCTGCCATGATCAAAAAGAGACTGATGTGCTTCAGCTGGGCCGTGCACATGCAGCCACCAGCATTTCCTAACAGCTCAGCCAAGGCATCTCTCCAGACAACTTGACTCCACTTTTCATGCTGAAGTGTTGAATGATATCCTTAGAAATGCTACTGTCCAGGAGCAGCTGCAATTTGCTTGGGTGATGTGATTCCCCAGAGCCACAGGCTCCTCTGGCAGCTGAACAGGCAGCTGAGTTGGCAGTGCAAGGCTCTTTCTCAAGAGTTAAGCAGGTTGTGATGGTTATTACACCTCCATACTGCTTTATAAATTAACCTGTATAAACAGACAGGGCTTTTGTTGGCCCTTTTGGTCTGCCCTGTCATTTAAACAGGCTCTCCAACATCCAGTCCCTGTCCTGCAGAACATGGCAGTAACTCAGCCCCAGCTGCCTTCCCAAACAGCAGCTGCCAGGAGAGGTTATGGATTCTTTTGAGGTCGTGTGATTCATGAATTAACACAAAAATCTATTGTGAGCCTTCACTTTCCCATTAAAAAAGAATGCAAACACAATTTGCTAGGCAATAAATCCTACAAACCAGCAAGGTATGAGGTTCACACACAGGGTTTTATCACTTGGTGCCAGATTGTGGTTTCCTGCACAGTGCCAGCCCTACTGAGAGCTAAACCCCTCAAATCTCCTACGTCAGACAGCACAAACAGCCCAGGACTGGGCACAGCAGTGGTGAGCAAGAACAAGAAAGGGAGAAAATCCCGACAGTGACTTATGCAGTGGACAAAGGGATGTCTGGAAACGCCTACATGGGTGTCTGGCAAAATTCTGTGTGTACAAGCAGGAAACAGTGGAGAAAAGAAACGCCTACATGGGTGTCTGGCAAAATTCTGTGTGTACAAGCAGGAAACAGTGGAGAAAAGAAACGCCTACATGGGTGTCTGGCAAAATTCTGTGTGTACAAGCAGGAAACAGTGGAGAAAATCAACACAGGGCAAGAGCTGGCTCAGGAGAAGCACAGGATCGCTGAGGCTGGAAAATCCCTCTGGGATTATTGAGTGCAAGCTGTGCCCGATCCCCACCCTGAGCACTCAGTGCCACCTCCAGGGATGGGCACTCCAAACCCCCCTGGGCAGCCCCTTCCAGCCCTTTCCAGGAGGAATTCCTGCTGATGTCCAACCTGAGCCTCTCCAGCCCAGCCTGAGGCCGTTCCCTCTCCTCCTGTCCCTGTTCCCTGGGATGAGATCCCAAATCCCCCCCGGCTGTGCCCTCCTGGCAGGGAGTTGTGCAGAGCCACAAATTCCCCCTGAGCCTCCTTTGCTCCAGGCTGAGCCCCTTCCCAGCTCCCTCAGGACTCTCCAAACCCTTCCCAGCTCCCTCAGGACCCTCCAAACCCTTCCCAGCTCCCTCAGGATTCTCCATTCCCCTCCCTGGACTCGCTCCAGCCCTTCCTGAACTGCAGTGCTCAGAACTGGACACGGTGCTCGAGGCGTGGCCTCAGCAGCGCCCAGCACAGATTTTCAATCACTTCCTTAGTCCTGCTGTGATTCCTTCCAGGGAAAGCACCCGGGTAGCGGCTGCCTCCACACCCGCCCGCCGTGCCCTGGGTCCCCCCTCAGGAGGGGCCGGTCCCGGGGCGAGGGGGGCTCACAGCGCTCGGGCCCCCTCACCTCGCAGCGCCTCCTTGAGCTCCCGCCGCTCGCCCGCGCTGAGGGCGGCGGTGCCGGCGCTCCGTGCCCAGAGCCGCGGGACCCCGGCCGGGGCTCGCAGGACGAAGGCGCGGAGCAGGACGGCGGCCGCCAGCGCCAGCACCACCGAGCCCAGCGCCAGCAGCGCCGCCGTCACTGCCCGCCGCCCGCCCGCCATGGCTGACCGCCGCGCCCCCGCAGCTGATGGGCGTGACCGGGAGCCAATCGGCACCCGCCTCGTCAGCATGGCAACCAATGGGGTTGGAGTAGGGGCGGGTTCAAGCCACTCCTCTCGCGGGGGCTGCTGGGAGTTGTAGTTTGCAGCGGATGTGGCTGCGGCCGAGGGTAGTGCGGAGTTGGGGAACGGTTTGCGTTTCAAAGGATCTTAAATCCCATCCCATTCCACCCCTGCCGTGTCAGGGACACCTTCCACTGTCACTGGGTGCTCCAAGCCCTTTCCAACCTGACCTTGGACAATTCCAGGGGTAGGGCAGCCACAGCCTCTCTGGGCACCCTGTGCCAGGGCCTGCCCACCCTCACAGGGGAGAATTTCTTCCCAATATTGGGGATAAAAGGAGTTCCTGTGGGGAATAACCACCCGCAGGCTCACTGGGGGCACAAGTGAGGCAGAAGGATGCCAGGACTGGCCAAGGGACAGCCCAGGGAGTCTCTGTGTTGTACAGCCCCACTTCTGACAGACTTTAAATCCACCTACTTTTCAAAATATGTCACTTCTTTCCTTGATTCCACCAGCTAGCACAACGGAACACTTCTTATTCCCTTCTTTATAGCTGTTCTGAACAGAATGTGAAGACTTATCCCAGCTTCCCATGGCACAAACTGTCCCAGGATGCCAAAGCCCAGATGGGAACAGCCATGGTAATCCTGTGCCTGAGGCAGCAGAAAATGACAATGATTGTTCACACATTCTTTATTATAAAAAAAAAAAAAAAAAAAAAAAAAAAAAGAAAAAAGAAAAGAAGAACGAAACCAACATTAAATTAAATAAATTACAAACATTTCTGAGCTGGTTATACATCATGCATTTACCAAGTAAGGCTTCAGAGCCAAAACGTATCAACCTCACTGTTACTTAAGAGCCATGAAGGGAATATTTTACTGGAAGTGAAAATATTTCACCAGCGTGACTTTGAGCTCCCCTAATTCTCTGCCCAGGCACTTGAGAATTATGACTTTGGCCACATTGTGCCTCCAGCAGTGCCATCTACCTGCTGCTGTTGCATTTATTGCCAGAACTGACCCAGAATTTGGCTACAGAAATGGGATTTCCTTCTGCCTGGGTCATGATTTGCAGGAGAGCCACTGCTGCTCTTTCCGAGCCATTTCTTGTGACATCCCATCCCATTTTTGTAGGAAGTCCAGGAAATACAATCTGGTTTATGCCTCTGCTCTGAGGATTCCTGCATTTGGCCTGTCAGACCCAGGCTGGGAAATCAACCTTCTGTAAAGAATTCTGAATGTAGAGCTGGGAACTGGAACTTCCCTCTTTTAATGTGATGCCAGCTCAGAGACCCAAAAATATTGATCAGGACAGTTTCTTGTTGCTCTGCACCAATTTCTTCGTTGTCTTTCTTTCAAAATTAGCACTTTTTAAAAGGAGCACTCAGGCAGTACAAAAGGCCATGAGGAATTACCCTCAAAGATAATTTAAGAGACTTAATCTCTTGCTTTTACCTTGTAAAACAAGCTATACATGGAGATTTCTGGAAAACCCACTGTTGTCTAAGATTAAAATAAGTCATAACCATCAACTGGTGGGGTTTTCTGCCCTCCTTTGGTTTTATTACTCTCCTGCACCACATAATCAGAAATTGAGGTAGAGAAATGGTGACTTGGTTATTGAGATGTGACATAAAACCAAACTGGCAGGCTGCTGCTGTTGTTTCCTTCAGTGGCTGTCTAGCAAGGATGGTTCAGGAAGCTCTATTTTCCTTAAAAATGAGACATCTGGGAGCTGCAGGAAAGCCCCAGGAAGCCTTCAGCAGTCAGCTCAACAACGTCTGTGTACTTCAAAACCATACACTAAAGCTTGCTTATATTTGTAATATTTTAGAGTGTTAAAATAGAAATAGCTTTTTAAAATAGAATCTGTTTTCTTGCACTCAACCCACTGGGCAGGCGGGACAATGTGCACATAATTCTTATTTCTGAGTACAAACCTGTTCTGTTAGTAAGAAAAAATATATGTATTTCAGAATTTAGCCCTGCTGAGAGAGTCCTGAGGTCTTTGGGGTGTCAGAAATACAGCAGTGGTCCGAGGCAGTGTTTTTTGGGATGCTGGGACACAGAAGAGGAGAGGCAGAGGCTGCAGAGACACGGAGGGAGATTCGGGGGGCTGCGGTGCCAGCCCCCCCGGGGTCAGTGCACATCAGAGAGCAGCAGCAGCTGGCACAGCTGCCCTGCCACACCTCCCGAAGCGAGCCCTGAAAGGCTTTCAGCGCTTGCTGGGGTTTCACTTCGTGGGGGAAACAGGGAAGAGGGAAAGGCAAGGAGCAGGATGCCCAGGTGATGCAGTTCCAGGTGGGCAGAGGATGGTGAGGGACAAAGTGGGGCTGAACATGCCCCGAGTCCAGGCCTGCAGCCGAGAATCCACGAGATGGCATCTCCTGAGTCCCGCTGCCCCAGCTGGCTCTGCCTGCTCAGAGTCCTTTGCTCTGAGTGCCACGAGCAGAGCAGGGAGGAGGGAGGATCTGGCAGTTCTGGAGGGTGATGGCCTCGTTGCAAACCCGTTGTATCCCCAGGCAGAAGCACAGCTCTCCACGGAGGGGTGGCAGAGAGGAGTCTCCTCTGGAGGGTTTGCCCGGTGCTCGCTGTGCTCACAGAGCTGTCTGGGTCTCTGAGTGGAACATGCTCCCAAACATCTCCTAAAGGGCACAGAGGATGAGCAAGGTCAGGGTTGGTGACACAGCTCGGTGTCATTGTCACACAAACACCCCCAGGGGCTCCAACCCTTCTCCATGCTTCCAGCTGGGCACGGACAGCAGGGGAAGGGCAGCCCGGGAGGGGAGCTCCTCCCAAGGCCCACATCTGGGTGCAAATCGCTGCAACATCCACAAAGCCTGTGCTGAAAATCTTCACAGATGGCTTTTCTTTTGGGCATGAACCAAACCTGGTTCTCCAAGTTCCCCCCATTGTGTGGAGACCACAAGTCAGGCTGAACCTGAGCTGTGTGGCCCAGAATGATTGAAGGACTCCTCTGTGGGGTGACCTACCTCCTCCTCATCCAGGTGCCTTCCAGAGCTCCTCAAGACTGGGATTTAAAATTCTATTTGCAATTAACTTTCTGAAGCACTGCAGTTACTTCCAGATATTTTCCCATTTCAATCAATCCCAATTAGAAGTCCTGATTTCTGCCTCATGCCCATGGCTGCAGTGACCCCTGGCACTACAACTCACCTCCTCCAGGTTCTTGTACTCTGCACTGCCCTCGTCCACAGACTCGTCATAGATGGAGAGCTCTGTTTGCGTCGGCCTCTGTGCAGGGAACAGTTGAGTGCACAAATTAGCAGAGTGCAGGGTCAAAAGGAGTGAAAACAGTGACTAAGGCAGGCCTAAAAGGTGACCCATGCTCTAAAGGCAATGCCCAGGAGAAGGGGCACAGGAGGAGTCCTGCCCCAGGTGTTGATCTGCGTTTGCCTATCACCCTGGTTTGATAGGAGACACCTTAACTCCTCCTGGGGAGGTAAGTGGTGCTACTGGTGCCAACTCCAGCTGGCACACAATAAACCAGCCCCTGTTTGGGGACAGAGCCTCTCTGACACTGTGCCACCAGCATGGGCCACATTCCTGCCTCAGAATCCCTCCTGTTCTCCTCGCACCAATGGAGCACGCATAGATTCCAGGACTATTCCAGCTGCACAAGTTTTGCCTTCATTTCTTCATCACTGGGGGCCAAATTCTGCCTCTGCCTGTTCCAACCAGCACCAAACTGAGGGCACAGTGCTGGAACAACTCTTCTGTCTCCTCCAGGCTGGCGCAGCACTCATCTCTCAACCTGGGGTTTGTGTAAGATTTTGACACTTCTGAATTCCCATGGAAATCCATTCCATCACAAGCTGCTGGGCCTGTACACAACAACTAGAATATTAAATACTTTGCTGGATTTAGGCCTTTACCACTCGAGACAAACATGGAGCTTCTTTAGGTGCAGTAGCAATTTGTGATTTTTCCATTGTGCTGACACAGCCTGGAAGCCAAACAGGAGAATCCCGTGGGCTGGGGAGCAAATTTACCTCTTCCAAGATGGGTGGGTGGACAAATTCTCTGATGCTGGCCAGTGCAAACAAAACAGCATCGTGGATGGTCAGGAAGATGTGACTTCTGTCCAAGCCTCCTTCCTCAAACACTCCTCCTGTGCTGATGTCATCGTACACCTGGGCTGGAGAAAGGAGACAGCTGAACGAGGAGGAAAGCACAGGAGGAATTCTGGAGGTGTGTGTGGCTGCTGGGGTCCTCTGAGCGAAGGCAAGGCTCAGAAGAAGCAGGTTTGCAGCAGAAATGAGTGTGGGGATCTGTTTTCCTGCATGCTGAGTGTGGAGATGTCCCAGCCTTAAAACTTCGCAAATGAAAACACTGATTTCACACACAGAGAACAGTGATTCTCTTTCCTTTCTTCCGTTTTCTCCTTTGATCTGTTCTGCCCTGGTCCAGCAAAGGACTGACATCTCACAGTTTGAATAAAGAACAGAAAAGGATCTGCTGTTTGTCAGGAGCTCAGAAATGGGGGAAGATCCCATGGAAATGGGTTTCTCTGGGGATGCTTACCATGCACATTTGCCAAGAAAACTTTGATCCCAATCTTCTGGTAACTGGAACACAACTGGAAGGGATGAGATGGGAGAGAGAGGATTAAAAAACACTGCCGCTCCAGCTTTGTGTTTATGCAAAAGACTTTTATCAGCGCTGGGGCTGAAGGAGAAAATCAGAGATGCAGAAGAGGAAAAGCCACACAACTGGAACACAAGTCCTGTGAGGAAGCACTGAGGGAGCTGGGGGTGCTCAGCCTGGAGAAAAGGAGACTCAGGGGTGCCCTCCTCACCCTGCACAGCTCTGAAAGGTGCCTGTGCTCAGCTGGGGCTGGGCTCTTTCTGCAGGAACTGACAGAGCCAGAGCACACAGCCTGCAGCTGTGCCAAGGGAAATACAGATTGGATATTAGGAAAAAGT